TGATCAGAGGGGCCGAAGAGAGGCCCAAAACAGCACAAGAGCGTTCCAAGAAGGACCCAGATGGCCTCCAGAGGCCCCCAAGACAGCCCAGGAGGCCCTCAACAGGACTCCCAGACGCAAAAAACCCTTCACTCCCTGAGGGAAACGTACACATTCAGCACGTTCGTTGTTCGGGTTTTAGCAGCGTCCAAAACAGCCAAAAAGGCATCCGGCGTCGCCCCACGACGGCCCAAGAGACCCCCAAGAGACCCTCAGACGGCCTGGATGGCCCCAAGACTGTCCAAAAAAGTCCACATGGGCCAAACAGAAGCCCAAGAGGCCCTTACAAGGCCCCCGAGAGAAGCCCCAAAAGGCCATGGGAGGCACTCCGAAAAAGCCATGGGAGGTCACAAGGAGGGCCCACGCCCGCAAGGTCCCTAGAGGGCCCAAGCTCCCCAACATGGCCCAAGGTGGACTTTGACGGGGCGATAGGGCCCCCAGTCGGCCCACCAGGGGGGCTCCAACAATGCCCACAAAGCATTGTTCCGCCAAACTGACCCGCCGAACCCGGGGTTCGCGACCACATTTCCCGGAAATCTGTTGCGAACCCAGGATTCGGCGCATTCTCCAATAATCAAGTTATGTTCGCGTGCCCCCTTGCGACCCGCTGCAACATGATATCCTCGGCTTGGCATTTCTTTGTGCTTTGCGGCATTGCTTGACATTGCGTCGGTTTGTTTGGCATTCATTCGCATGACTTGCCATTCTTTCGCATTGCGAACCGGGGCACCTGAGCCACGAGCCGGCCAATGTGCAGGCCTACGAAGGCCTTTTGTCGTCACTCACTGCCAGAAATTTCTGCAAGCGTGTACGTACACATGAACCCCCCCACGGCGCCATCTCTTTCCCTCCTCCTGCTCCTCCTCTGGGTCCTCCTCCTCCTCCTTCTCCTCTTCCTCCTCCTCCTCTTTCTGCCGCTCCACCACTCGTCCTCCCCCACATCCCCTTCCCTCTCCTCGCTCCCCGAGATTCCCTCCCTCCTATCTTTTGCCCTCCACCTGGCGCCTTTCGGGAGCCCCCAGAGGCCCGGGAAGGGCCAGGGACCTCCCGAACTTTCGAAGACTTCCGAAAACCACCGCAGGGAAGGGGCCAAATTTCCAAGGCCACTAGAGATGGCGCGAAAGACCAACATATTCAAAGCCTCAAGGGCCAAGGTGCTTGAAGTTTGGCATGCAAGCGGAATGGCAGGAAAGTCAAACAAACAATTTAGCGATAACTCCTTGTTGCCTTTTCCGGCATCGCCTTTATGATGATGTTATTCGTTATCCTTCATCCATGTTTCGTGTTCCTCATTCTCGCCCTACCCTGCGAATTCTTCCCCATCCTCCTCAGCTGTTTTTGCAGAGGTCCTCCTTGGAGAGCCTCTATGGGCCTCACAGAAGTTGTTCAGTCTTTCTTACAGCCTTCTGGAGGCCTCATGGGCGTCTTCTGGGGGCCTCTGGGGGCTTCCTCGGGCCACCCTGCCTCCAACCGCGGTCTTCCTGAACGACCGGGTCACGATTTGGAATGCTTCGGAGAGTGTCATGGGGCCATCTTGGGCCGTCGTGGGGCTCTCTTAGGCCATCTTGGAACCCTGTTGTTGCGTCTTATGGCTCTCTCAGACTGCCTAGAAGCCCTTCCGAATAGTTTTGGGGCGATTTTTCGAGCCTCAGAGGCGGCCTCGGACGCCCAGAAGACCGAAGAACAGCGCGTTCCCAAAATCATGTAAAACCCTCGGACAAGCAATGTTTTCTACGTTTTGGAAGCCTCTTGGGGGTCTTCTTTGGGTCGTCTTCGGGCGTCTGGTGGGTCTGGGGCCTCTTGGGGCCAACAGGGGGGCGTTCGGCCGCCCTCCTGACCGATTTGGGCCCGTTGCCTCGTCCCAGCAAGGGCTTCCAGGAGCTCTGAAACGCCTGGGGGGCCTCCTGCATGGGCGTCTAGAGGGTCGCTGGGCCACGGATCCAGGGGGTCCAGAGGGTCTCCGGGGTCGGGGATTCGGGGGGTCCGATTTCGGAGGGGAGGGGGGGGTCCCAGGTAATAGGAATACGCGAATGGGAATATACATATGCGTGTATCTGTATATATGTATATACATCTATAGTATTTTTTTTTTCGGCGCTGGCGCTGTTTATCCGCTGCGGGGGAGGGGGGATGTGACAGGTGACAACCTCAACTTTTCGCTGTGGGCAGCCCCACCTGTACACGTGCGCACTGGCACTGCACACCCCCTTCGGACCTGCGCAATTGGCTGATTTTCCGACGGAAGTGCACCCCAAACGATCCGAGCAAAAATAAACCAGAAATGTCCGCCTCAGAAAACAAGCGGCTCCAGCATCGGGTCCACAAATCGAATCGGATCGGACAACACATCGAATCGGCAAGAACAGGCAAACGTCGGCTGCTCCATCGAATCGGCAAACATCGGCAAACCCGACCAAGATCGAATCGGAAACCGGCTCGCGCGAAGCTAGATCGAAATTGA